GGGGGGGGGGAGGGGAGTTCTAGTCAAACTCCTAATTTCTCCCCTGGATTAAAACCCTTCAGTTATACACTACTCAACCTCCCCACCCCCTCCCCCGACCCGACTGCCCTTACCCCTCTTATCTGAGTAATTAGCATGCGTGCAAATGCAGTTAGAGGAGGGAAGGGGTGTGCTTATCGGATTGATACTACTAATTATTAACTCGTTTTTTTTCTTTGCCCAGTCAGATACCAAATGGATGTCTATTTGTGGCGCAACACTATCATCACATCCTTTCCGCACATCCTAACGAATAGATAACAAATTAAATTAAGGTGTGAAAATGTACTGGGGAATTCAAAATGAAACTGTAAGACACAATACACCTCGAAAAGCGCAAAAGAGAACCCAATGTATAGAAAAAAAGCAAAATAAGGTAACGTTAAATGCTATATTATTTCAAATTACACCATGTAGTATTGAGAAACAATGGACAGAAACTACTCCTTAAAGAAAGGAGATATCACCCAGAAATGATGCCATATTGTTCATGAGAAACGTGCACTCCCATCACAAAAGGCATTTAGAGAACAACTAAAATCCTCACTATTTTCCCAAATGCTAATAATATACACTCGTGATGTCCATAAAAACGGAACTATTCGAGGATTATTTCAAATCCCTCGAATTGGCCTCCAACCGTATGCCGTGTTGGAGTGTGTAAGTATTTAAACAAGGGGAAGTTTCACAGACCACGTGCTTAAACATAGTCCCTAAAACATCTATGGTCAATTATCTATTCAAATTAGAGATTGGAAAATCAAAAAATCAAATTTCAGAGAATTACTACGTCAGTTATGCAAGTTCACATCAACATGGACGACAATTGTAAACATCTTAGCCCAAAAGTCTGGCACCAGGCGGAACTCTCACTCAAAATATTAGTGAATAAAATGTTAAGAAAAAAACAGATCCTAGCAGCAAACAGAGTCATACACACACACTTTGATTTCAAGACTAAAATCTTCAAACTGATCTTTCTCCGGTCCAAATCGATCTCGTGACACGACTCTGTTCTGACGAATACTTAATTTCATAAAACAAATAGTATGCAACATTTCGCCTACACACCTCCCCGATAGGTCAGATACTTCGGGGATTCCCATTCTTAATTACTTTCGATTAGCCATTAGAAGTGGAGAGGTACACGCACTTACTCAAATAAAGTACATTGAATTGCCAAGAGTTATAAGGACGATTTGATCTAAATCAGAAACTATAGAGAAGGGGAAAGCCCTTAGAAACTGTACTCCACTAAACAGTAGCATACCAAGACATTCAAATCGGTTATTTCAAAATATTACTCAATTTTAAACCTTTCAAAATGAATATAATTGCGAGAACAAGAAAAGGGTTTGATTTACAGATCAAAAGCAGCTATAAAGCATTTGTCGATCAAAGTAAATAGGTTTTCCATTTACAATTGTTAATTAAAATAAGTTATTTGAAAATAAATGAAAGAGTAATAGAAAGGCAATATAAACAGAGACCAACTTTTATACTCTTGTAAATAAATTTAAAATGGCGAAAATATGAACTTTAAATAGGAAAAGAAGAAAAGGGCCTTACATTTTGAGAAAGAGTAAGAGAATGAGACTTGAGATTATTGATCTTGGTTTTGAGTTGATCGACGAAAGAACTCCGTTCCGTTTCATCAAGAGACAAAAATGACCTTATTTCTTCCCTCTCAGTCTTAAATGTTAAAAAAATTACAATGACAATAAGGTAGTACCTTCAAGTCTTCATATTCTTTGGTCAAATTTGCTAGGTCATTTTCATAGTTTAACACCTGATGAACCAAAAATATGCGTAATAAAATTCTGCTTACTTATGCGATATAAGTAAAAAAAACTTTACCCTGTTGCATTGGCTTTGAAGGGTTTGTTCGCCTATAGCCAGTTGATCATGTAAATTCTATTTGGATAAATATAGTCATTAAAAAAATAACCTTAATGGTGTGTTTATACGAATCGATTTCAGCTTTCAATTTGGAGGCCTGAGTGTCTGAAGTCTAAAAAGTAAATAAAGTATAAAAAAACAAAGTTATTACCTCTTCGATTTTACTTTGCTTAGCAGCTTCAAGTTCTGCAGAAAGCTGAAATGGAAATGTATACACATCCCCAAATTAAAAACTAACCTGCGAAATCAGGAGTTCTTTTTCTAATTGTGCTTCTAAAAAAGCCTGTATCTTTGGCTTAAGTTCTCTATGTTGAAAATGCAAGATATAATGAAATGAACTAACATTTCTGGTATTTTATCACTAGTTAAGTTCCCGTCTAAAAGTCGATCAAGCATATCTTCCTAACAAAGAAAAATGAATAAATTTAAAGTGAACGTACAATGCCCATAGAGTTTGAACTGTTACAGCTTTTTGCATTCCCAGAAATAAGGTCCTCGTAATATTCGCTGACGTGATTGGCTAGAATATAATAAGATGGACATAGATGAAGGTTACCAGCTGACTGTTCCCGATTTCCACCATGATTCCTTTCAAAATGGGCCAAAAGAGCGGCTTCACAGTCCAAATTTAGGAAACATTCCGGACAAAGATAGCCCTCATTCAACTTTCTCATGGTCTGTCTTAAAAAAACTCGATGCAATCAGCAATGAAACCATAAATAGGACAACGGCATGGAAGCAATCAAAAAGAGATACAGAGTATTGTTACATAAAAATTTATATACAAAAGCAAAAAAATAAGAAAAATAAGTCTATGTAGAATTTTCAGGTTGCGATTTTAATTGCATTAAAAAGATAAGATTTCGTTGAAGAATTTTTTGAAAGGAAACCGCCTCCTCAAAATCACCAGAATTGAGCTTTTTATTGATAATGTCTAGAAGAAAATCATTCTCATCCATAATTCGATCAACTGTAAATTGGGAAGGATTTTCATCGGTGGCAATGATCCAAGACATTCTAGAATTAAAAATAATTGAATAAAGAAAATTATTAAAAATGAATAAGAATGTTTTAATGAAATTAAATAGAATATACCATGAACATATACTACTGAGCACTACAGTGTGTTAACATAACATTCGAAGAGTATCAAAATAACTAAGCAAATAAAATTTGAAACTGAAAATCTCACCATAAAATTTAAATATAGTATAAATATTCAGACACAATGGAAAAAAATCGGCAATTATATTCATTTAGTGGCCAGTCAAATAATATAAACTAACTGTCAAATAAAGAATCAAACTACCCAGAAAGCTTAAATAAACTCTCGTATTTATTAACTGCCAACAAGCCTATCTGTTATAAAATTTCTGTAGAGAAGTTACATGTCGCGTTTTATACTTGGTTTTCATCGAGATACTAAATTTGCATTCCCATATCTTATTATAATTAAAAAATGACAAAAAATGAATTTTAAATGGTTTAACTTTATTAAAAATACATAAATTATACGAATAGAGCTTTCCAAATAAAGTAAGAACTTGAACATTACGATAATCTACTTAACATAATTTATTCGATTTGTGATAAATAGAAGTTAAAAAAATTACCTTGAATTACGTTAAGGAATGTGACCGAAGGTACAAAGATAACGCTAAAAAAAGGTACGATTAAACAACTTAATTTTCTAACATTAATAACTTTATATATATATATATATATGTCGATAAAACGCAAATTCACTGTATGATATTAATATATTGTTTTCTGACCATTAATATTACTTCACTATTTAAAAAGATGTGGCAATGCAGGCAGATTCGGTATCCAAAATTTCATTTTTGACATTCCTTCAGAGCTATTGTTTTCGTAGTTAATAAGTAATTTTTATCATAATTTATATGCCTCTTCTCATTCCTATGATATTTGTGCTATGTAGAACGAATCATTGGGTGGTATCAACATAAACGCAAAGCAATATTTTAATGCAAATTACCTAAACTGAAACTAATTTTAGATCTAGAACAAATAGAAAATTTGAGAAAATTTTAAACGTTCTAAAACAATGCATAAGGTGTACTTGTGGATATTTAAATGCTTATTCAATAGAGTTAAAGTGTAATATTTGAAGTGCTCTAGGCTATTTCACTCAAAACTAGTATCAAGAAGTTAAATTTTGCGTGGTATGGGACGTCGCCGCATTGGTAAACATGTACATCGATCCGCTTCAAAATATTGTGAAGATGATAAACGAAAGCCCATATTGAGAGAGAATGCGGATAATTATTATTTGATTTGATCAAATACATGCTTTACTGTCTGTGGCACTGAAATGGTCTCCCTCTACTTAAACGTAGTGTTACGTGTGTGTGTGTGCGTGCGTGTGAGGAATCTTAAAAAGGAGGATAGTGAGAGGCAGTGATAAATAAAAACCATTAAAAATTCTATTAGAACTTATTAATCTGATATTATTCAACATTTTTTATAAACGTATTTGGCTATTTGCAAATCCATGCGCTAAATTTACTTTTAACACTTTTTCCTCTTCATACTCCGAACACTTTTTATAACTTTTATAGACATAAAAATTAAAATTTAATCATTTTATCAAGTTGAAACAACAGAAATTATAAAGGTTTTAGCACATAATGTAACCTTTAAATTATTCAAATGTGACAAATTGGGTTGGATTATAGGTCTAGGTCACGGACCACTACTGTCGTCTGCTCTGACAAGGATTTCTGGGTTTATTTCTGATGGTAAGTGTTCAATTATGTTTAGTAATTTTCAGCTTTCCATTCTTGATCTCCTTTCCTACTTCACCTATTTTATTTATGGACTCGCATTATTATTCTGCGTTGTAATCGGACTGTTTTATTTGACGGAATTAGTGGAGGAATATACAACTGCAACGGGGAAAATTATACGCCTTGTAATTTACTCAGTCATTTGTATACAATTTACCTTTCCCTTTCTCGATGGACTTTCTTACAGTCTTACATTAATTGGTATTATAGCTCATATATCTTATTTGAACCTATTAAAAACGTTCCCTGTCTTTCAGTGCACTTCTTTTAATTTCATCCTTGATTGCATTTTGTTACTTATCCACAATATCGTCGCCTTTAGATCAGAGTCCCTTTACACGAAAGATACTGTTCATATTCTTACATATTTAACATTTTTTGTTTGGCTAGTGCCTCTGATGTTTGTACTCTCTTTGTCTGCTAATGAAAATACTTTACCTCAGCATGTAAACTCTGGCACTTATAACGAATCTAGACCCCTTCTAAGTGGAAGCGATGATCTTGTTTTCAGTTACTTAAAAGGAAAACGCCGAAGTCTCTACTCAGCCTTATCTTACCTCAGAGATCAATTACCTGAGTTCCAGTCAAAAAAGCTTTATTAAGTGGCACAGTTTGTCTTTATTTTTGAACGCCCTTTAGTTTTCCTTGTTCAAAACTCAGTGTGTTTATACTTACATCACGCATGTATGCTCCTTCATTGTTGAATATATTAATTTTTGTTTTTGCTAAACCTTGAATATTGTGCCTGCATTATTACGAACTTTTGGATTACTTAATGTCCGGTTATCATTATTGTAAAAACGACATTAATGTTAACTGCTTTTTTTGAATCGGCTGTTACTTCTTAATGGTGGCTCTAAATAGTGTTGTTTCTCCTTTTTATTAACAAGAACTTTGAAAGCATCTTTCAACACTTTCCTTGAATAAAGTGGTGCCATTATGGAGTCTTCCTGATGACTAACTCAAATTCGGCCACTTTTAATTTAATCAGATTTAAAGAGCACACCTCCAGTATCGATACTGTCTATATCAAATGGCAGTCTTTATGATAATAATATTATTATTATATCAAATGGCAGGCGTTTTGATTGTTATCATTACCCCTTTAGTTGACTTTAGGCTTCACAGAGAGGAAGTAACATAAAAGTGAAAAAAGTCGAGAGGGGGGGGGTGGAACAGAAGAGTGGGGTGATGATAGTTTGAAGGCAGAAGTCAACTGCAGGTTAATAGACATTTTTGCCGTATGAGAATACGTTGCCCA